TATCATTTGTATCAATTTTTAAAAAAATAAACTAATATATATTTTATTCATATCAAATCATTTAAAAAATAAGTCTTAAAAATAATGCATCAATATTCAAAACTCGCGTTCAGTTTAATAACTTTATTCAGAACCAAAACCTTCAGACTTCGCATCTTGTTGAATAACTTTATTCACAACCAAAAGCATGTTAACTAGTTTCATTCCATTGATGAATTATGATAGCCTAGTGAATTTACTATATTAATTAACTTTTTTTACCAATACCTTATCTACCAATTTATATACTTGTCTCTTGATCTATACTAAATTAAAAAAATACATGTTAAATATTTTATAATTGAAGAAACTCATAAATCTAATACCTTAAAATTTTGAGTTAATATATAATGTCTAACTTTATTTTTGTGAAAGTTTAAAATCTATTCATTACAAAAAAACCATAAAATAATAATGAAACATATGCAGAATTGACATATAGTTGAGTAGAAAAATGTTGACAGAGATAACTTTGTAAGTTTCTAAAATATTTAATTACATTAAAAAAATTTATATATAATTTTTTATTTTTACAAGATAATTAGATCCTTATCTATACTAAGTAATGTAAATTTATTAACTAATATAATAAAAACAGTATAACAAAAAAATGATTTATTAATTTAATGTAAGAATTCACTCCGAACCGATTAGTCGGTTTAGTGAGCCGGATATTGGTGATGACAACTTAAAAAAAATATAATTCATTAACTAATTTATTAGAATAGTATATTAAAAAAATTTAATTATTAAAACAGTATAATTACTAATTTATTTACTTTCTAAATGCTATATAATTTTGATAATAAAAACAAACTATAATTAAAGAAATAAAATAGAATAAAATTTTAATAATATAATAAATCTAAAAATATAAAAATAAAAATTCAAAAAATAAAAACTAATTTAATACTTTACTAAACTTTTAATCATACAATATATAAAAATAAAAACATCTCAAATCTAACATTCATTTAGTCATACCAAAATCTAACACGTACATTACTAACATTCATCTATTCATGTCAAATTATTGACTCATACATTATTAACACTAATTCATGCTAAATTAACTTAACTAACCTTTAGCTCATACATTATTAATATCATTGGTATTTCAAAATTCAAAACAATAGTCAGAAGTAATGGTACCAACCTATTGATATATCATGGATGAGTAAGAGTCCTATGCTAAATATAAAAATGGATGTTAAACATTTTATAGTTTAAAAAACCCATAAAATTAATGTTTTAAGGTTTTGAGATAAAATATGATGTCTAACTTTATGTCAATGTTTAAAGTCTAATCACTAAAAAAAAAAAATTTAGGGATAAAAACCTGGCAATGTCTATGTGAGACTATGCTAGCAGAAAGAACCTCATATAAATGATCAATGCAAATTTTATTGTTAGGAGTTTTACACTCAAAAATTTTATTGCCAGAGGTATCTTCCCAACAACTTTTTAACCATAATGTAATAATTAAATACATGCAAAATTGAAAAGGACAAGTAAAGAAATATTCTGACATAAGTCCGAGTAGAAAAATGTTAACAGAGATAACCCTTCTTAAAATTCTAAATATTAAATTTTTTTATATATATATTTTTCTTATTTCCACAAATAATTAATTCTTTACCTATACTAACTAATGTAAATTTATTAACTAATTTATTGAAATAATATAATTAAAAAAATACAACAAAAATATGATTTATTAATTTGATGTCTAAACTCGTTCCGAAATCAAATTACACGGTGGATTGGATACTTGTGGTGAAAAATTTTAAAAAATATTTGATTAACTAATTTATTAAAATAGTATACTAAAAATATAATTATTAAAACACTATAATAACTAATTTATTTAGTTATTAAATGATATATAATTTTGATAATAAAAAAAACTAAATTTAAAGGAAAAAAAAACTAAAATTTCAATAATATAATAAATCTAAAAAAATAAAAATAAAAATTCAAAAAAATAAAAACTAATTTAAAAACATCCATTTAGTCATACTAAAATACTACTCATACATTACTAACAATCACCCATTCATGCCAAATTAACCAGTATATAGTCATACATTATTAAAACTAATTCATGCTAAATTAACTTAACTAACATTTAGCTGATACAATATTAATAATTATTTGTATCAAAATTTTAAATAAACTAACCTATGTTTTATTCATATCAAATCATTTAAAACACAAACTATTTAGTGTAGAAATGATTTTGAGGCGAAAATTTTAGGTAAATTGTGAGATAAAATTTGAGAAACAGAATTGAATATAACATAAATTTATTAGTATATTAAAAGTATGAATAAGAATTTTACATTAAATAAAAAAAAAAATGAAGATTGAACTAAATGAGAAAATTGATAAATTCATTCTTAAAGTTTTGAATTAAAATATAACATCCCATTTAATTATATCATGGTTCAAATCATGATTCCAAACAACCTAATTAAGATGTTTCATATTTATCTTTTATTCTCAATTAGTTATAAAAAAAAATCTTAAACTAAATTTAACCTTTTTTGGTAACATTCATTGAACTTTACTAAAAACTCCTAGATCTTAGCTACATGCAACTCAAAAATGTTGTTGATCCTTTCAAGAATAATACTGTTTGAGTTGATGATGACCACATAGATGACCAACACACAAAAGCCACTATAAACAAGTTATATTAATATTTACCAACCAATAAGATTGTCGGGTTTTTCTCGTGAATTGAACTCAAAAAATAAGTGTAAGAAATGGAACATAGGACAAGTACTTGAAGCCATAGTTAGAACTGTAATATGTACAGTTATAGTTAAATACTTTTCCTTACCATCAGAACTTTCTTAATAATTATATATACATTCCATAAAATATTACTACTATACTTTTTCTATCAATTCATTGTCTTGGTAATTATATTTAAAGTTTTTTCTTGAAAATGTCATGTCGGTCAAAATTTTGAGGAAAATAGACATCGAACAAGTGTGTGTGATTGATTGGATTTTTATCTGATTTTTATTAGGTAAGGTATTGTGCATCCATGGTAGAAAAATAAAATGTCTGACCCTTTATGCTGCAAAAATAATAGATGATTTAAGTAGACAGAAACATCAGTACTATCTATAACTATCAGTCTATTATTGTTAAGGAGAAGGAATCTCCAACTCACTACAAAACTAACAAACTTAACCTATCTCTAGTTTTTACCGTTAATTTTTTTTACTATTTATTTACAATATAATCATTTTTTTATTAAATAAAATAGAATGATATAAAAGAAATGGTACAAAAATATGAAAATAAAGATGGCAGTGTAACTACTACCATGTTCATATGTTCCTTAAAGCTGTTTAAGAGAAAAGGAAGAAAGACACAACATATCCTTTTCTGATGTTTTGTTTTGCCATTTTAAACCCAAAAAAACCCTTTAAATTGGTACCACTATACTTCCTTTGAATGGTGATAATGATTTGTGTTTTTGTAAAACAATGCATATGCTTGTGTGTGGGTCAACACTACCTATCAACTTAGTACTAATTATTCACTATTGTTAACTTCAATTCTTTAATCATTGCCAAACACTTCACTCATTACATGTATCAAAATTTTAAGATACACCGAATTTATATTTAAAAATAAGAAATTCGGCTGATGAGCTGAAAAATACCGATATTATTTTTAACAAGAAGTTTAGAAATTTTGACTGATGACCTAAGAGACTTCAAAAAAAATTTAACAAAAAATTCGGCTGATGAACTAAGAGATATCTGATGAATTTGGAATTTCATATGATCTAAGAGACTTTGAAAATAATTTACACGAAATTCAGCTGATGAACTAAGAGATATATGATGAACTACGAAGTTCGACTGATAACTTAAGAGACTCCGAAATTTTTTTAACAAGAATTTCAACTAATGAATTAAGAAATAACTAATGAATTAAGAAATATATGATGAAATAACGTATTAATGACTTAACTAACATTTGTTTCCAAAATAAAAAATAAAATAGAAAATTCTTGAAAATTGTAACATCTTAGGACCACTTATATTCAATATCTTCAACCAATTGGTTTAATTGGGGTCAACCTAAACTACATACTAAATTGAACAAAGAAAATGAACAACATGTTTTTGAACAATGAACATGATCTTGAAGAACATGTTCCCTTCTCTCATTTATTACTACTATGCCCTTAACATTTGCCCTAGATATATAGAATAAAAGGCTCCTATGTATAAGTTCTTGAATCTTAAATTTACATAGAAAAGACACAATACTAAGCTTATATATTGATACAGAAAGCTCATATTCATATATATAATTACCTGTCACACTCTAGTGACTTAAAAAAAAACAAAAGGAGCATGTACACATGTAACATTAAATCAATGAAATAAATTTTTTTGATTCCTGCTATAATAGACATGGAAATATCACTTTCGTTTCTGCACTATTTTAGCAGACCATCATCAAACCTTATCATCTTGACATTACATTGTAACATTGAAATCAGTAAAAAAACTCCTCTCTCCTCACCCCACTTTCTTTGACAGTTTCATAGATTTAGACACACGTGTGTTTAGATAAGAAGTTTATGCGCACCAAAGACCTAATTCTATTCAATTGTACCCTTTACATTATCCTCACACGTGTGAGTCACAGTTTTTTCTCATCTAACAACCTTACATTACATAAATTTTCTCTAAAGTTCAAAACAAGGTTCATTGTTCAAAATTCAAACCCTAAAATTTAATATAAGGTAGAGAATCAGGAAAAAAATTCAAACAGAAAGCAAACTTAATGAAGAAATTTCTGATATGGTGGATCAATCATAATATAAGTTATTTTTGCTGTATGAATAATAATTGAGATGTTATTTATTACCAAACTTAATTTATAAATAAACTTTTAACAACTAAATAAACAAGAAAATTGGTTATTTAGAGATGAAGATCTAAACTAACATGGTCGCTACGTTTAGTATCATAAACGTAGCGATTATGAGAAACAGTAGATCGAACTCCATGAGCGAATCCGTCCTGTGATTGATTCGCTGTTTCCTCGGAAGCAAGTAAAGGCAAAGGACGTTCATAGTTGAAACTAGGGTTACTCTGGATGGTGGCGTTTGGGATTCTCCAAAAAGCTAAAGGACTACCATTGATAGGTTGTTGAGAGTATGAAGAAGTTGGAAGGTTATAGAATCTTGCAGTGGCTGAGTTTGAGTTCCATGTTGGATAAGAAGGTGATGATGATAATGAGGATGGTGAGGAAGATGTGAATCTGTAGAGAGGATGCTGTTGTTGTTGATGATGGTGATGGTAGAGATGTGGATCAGAGAAAGATGTAGCATGTACCATGGTTGATTGAAGGTGTTGTCGTTTTGCATGTTGACGTTCTCTTTTGTGTGCGTTTTGATGACCACCTAAAGCTTGTGAAGTTGGAAAGTTTCTACAACAGTAATGACATTCAAATCTTCTGTTGTTTTCCATGTTGTTACTGCTGTTGTTGTTGCTGTTGTTGGTGTTAGTGTTGGTGTCTTTGTTGGTGTTGTTGTTTTCAGCCTCGAATGTTGTTTCGAGAGACTCCGAGGAGTCGTCGATGTCATCAGCGGCCGCTCGGCCGCCGAACTCGATGCCGAAGAGGCGGATGCCTTTTTCTTTAGGTGGAGGGCGGATGAAGGGAAGTTGAGAGAATGAATCAACATTCATTAAGTCATGTGTTTCTCTATCAATGATTTTTTTGTCCATGGAGGGAATATTTTGAAGAGTGAAGGGTGTGTTTGTGTTGAAGAAGTTGTGGAGAAGACTAGAGAGAAAAATAAATGAGTGAAGAGCAAGAGAAGAGAAGAGAAGAGAAGAGAGTGTGTGTGATGTGATGAATGAAGAGAAGGTGTTGAAGTGGGACCTATAAAACAAAGAGAGGAAGGGAAAAGTGGGGACTCTTACATTACATCTATGGATGGACAATTGGGTCTGATCAATCTCAGAGTGAATTGCCTGACAATCGCCACAACACTGCCTTGCCTTCTCTCAAAGTACCACCTCCCTTTCACTTATTTTTGGATCCATTCACATTCACACACACTTCTATACTTCTATAAAAATCTACAATATACATCCATTTTTATTTTAATATATATAAATGTTTCCTCTTAATTTTAATGGTTATAATTTATAGTTAGTGGTCCAATCATAAATGAGGAGTATATGTTTTGATGTCATTCGAGAGATTATCTATAGATGAGATTTGGAGATATGTAAAATACCGACATTAGACAATGCTGTTCAAGACATAAGAAACCACTTGCTTAGCTAAAGCATCATGATTACACTAAATTGATGGAAAACAAAGTATGTCTACTTGGTTTTTAGCAAGTGGGAGATTGCATGCCCAAAACACCAATGTATTTACTTTTGTCATATCTATATAACTCATTTCCATTAGTACATTTATAAAAATATAAAACAAAATGACCATCAAGAATAGATTGAACTATTTACTACCAATCTTAGCATATATTAATTATTTTCTCTTATTTTTATCGAATATGTCTATTAAGTCATTATTTTTATCGGAATAAAGATTATCTTTGTACTTGTAAAAGTATATTAATGATAATTTTATCAGTGATGGTCAGTAAAGTTACATTCGAATAGGCTATGAATCGTATATATATTTTCCTTTGTGATTATCTTTTTATATAGTAGTTTTGACCAATTCTATACTCAAACCCATCAGAGGCCATTAAGGCAACTGTTCATGATTAGTGTGGTTTTAATGGTAATTAGAAATCATACTTGATTGCTAGATCATATACCATAGTTCTCTCAATCTGTCACATATGTGTTATCCATCGTATCTTTAATCCAGATATTCTATCTGTATTAATTTTGGACCGGCATGATCAACCTAGCTCATCAACTACCTCAATTCGACCTTGTTCTATTGGGAGAGTTATAATCCGAGGCAGGCTTTATCGAATCCTTGCTATAACTCGACTCACTCTCGATGACCTGAGACAATAGATCAGACATGTACACAGTCTCTCGAGCATGACCTGTATAGGGGCAAAGTGTTATACTGAGATATACCAATAAGATCAAATATATACACAACCCCTTAAGCATGGTTCACGCAGGGGAGAAATATTTGCTTTAGACTGGTTAGTGATTTACCTATGTGCCTCATTGGACGATCTTTATTGTGTGAGCTTGCTCTACGTTTTTCGGGCGTGGTGGCCTTTGACTGTGATCGGCTAATATTAGTTGTTCGATTGTTTCACTTACACTAGTTGTGATGATTTGCAAATGCAATGGGAATAACAGTAACTCATGGCATATTCCTACTTTCTGTAGCCCAATGAGGGTAGCTTTAAATGCAATTGTCATTTTGTCTTCCACTCAATCTTATAAATAGGTTTGGTGGTTTTTCATTTCCTCCATTTCACTGTTTTATCTCGTATACTTCTAGAAAGTATCTCTTGCATTTTTCTTTCATCATTGTATTCCATTTATTTTATTACCCTTGTATTTTTGTTTTCTTCTTTCTAGAGTAAAATTCATTTGGGATGACCATAAAGCCCAGAGACGATGTCAAAAAGTTCTATGAGATGAAAAGGGTGAACAAAGTGGATCGATATTTGTGAGCGTCATCCTTAGGAGATTTTTTCTCTTCCCTTACGCTTCCAACTACTAAAACTAGAAGGTTAATGGAAATTCATATTGTCCTAAGGTCATGTACGGGGAAGATGAGACTCATATGTTTCCTATTTAGTGGAAGGTTGATCCCATTTCTATTTATAGGTTATGGCTTAAATAAGCATAATGAGGTGGAGAGAGAAAATATCATTCTCCTAAAGCAATTTATTGTTATGGTATTGAGGGAGATCTCCCGTTGTTGATGACTTCTTTGGGTAAGACACTTTCTTGATGTCTCACCCTTATGTACTACTTTTAGTTAATTCTAACAAATTGTTTTTAATTTTTGTAGATAGGATGGCTCTTTGTCATTAAAGTGATCCCCCAAGCTTCCAACCCCGGGTGACCTATAAAAGAAAGGTCGTCATAGAGGGGGGAAATTTCTAGAGATGTTCCCTTAACTATTGTTAGGCCTCCTCCTCCTATTGAATGTACGAAGTCTCTGCTAACAAAGATAAGTAGGGAAAATTGATAACACATAAATGTATTGCATATTTAACTTGATTTAATTAAATTATTTTCCATTTTATTCTAAATTAAATTGCTTTGTAGTTGGTATTTGGCTATTTTGCAGGTATCAAATTAATTATGAGAAAAAGAAGAAAAAGAAGAAAATGGGTACAAAACAAAAAGAAGAAAGGATAAGCCCAAGCCCAAAAGTGTGGCCCACTTGAAGCAGCAAGTCCGTGACGACCGGCAGGGCATGCGTGACGACCGGCAGTGCATATGACAAAGTATTGAGAATGTCACTTTGACCATGACGAACGACATCACACTTTCTCCTACTATTTTTCCAACGTTTCAAGCTTGCAACGAAAATGTCTCACTTGCTATATTCATGTTCCAAGCTACGCAGAGATCCAACAACCCTACAAACTCTCCTATAAATTCTCACATGCAGTTATTCAAGACCAATATAAATAGTAGACTTCACACATTCAGCGAGGCTCTCTGTTTTTCGCCTTTCTTGCATTATTTTCCAGAATTATTGTTCTTCCTTAATTTTAAGCAGTACTATTTTCCCAACCCATTTAAGCAATAAAGTTCTGCACTAGAAATCTATTGCCCCGTAGTTTATTTCGTGACCTTCAGAATTTTTGTTTAAGTTTATTATTTTATTTCTTTGCAATTGTTTCTCTTTCGGATCAAAGCAAAACCTACCAACCTGTGGAGGAGTGCCTCTCGTTAGAGCCAAACGAATTGTTACCGTTTTCCAGCCGTATTTATTTTCAGGTTTTCATTTTAATAAATTATTATTTGCCTTTAATTCAATAATCATGTTTACTTTGTTGTCTGGCTTTTATTATTCTGTGATTAAGTTTTATAATATGCTAGGCTAGATTTCTATACCGGTATGTAAGGTCATAAAACTGAGGGAATTTGGTAATACTATTGGTTACTTATTTGTTGAACTATTTTCTGGACTAGATTACTTTGTTTTTAATGATGAACCGTTTTGTCACGAGAGTAAAAGACGAATAGAAGTTAGGTTCAGTAAAGCGAGAGCTTGAGGATCTTTAACTGGACAGTAGTAATTAGGCATTGGCTTTAAAAACAGCGAGAGTGCTTTAAGGCGAATTAGAGTTTATTTGTTTTCAAAAGAATTTTTCTAACTCCGACGGGATAGCGAGAGCATACATTAGGACTTAACTGCATAACCTGAATCAACAACCTCGACAGTGTGAGATGAGGGTTTTTAAACTGATAAATTTTTACTAAGAATTGTTGGAAACTACGAGTTACCAAATAGGTTACTAATTCCCGAAGTCCGATCATTATACTGGTTGTTTCCCCCTCTAATTATTTAATTAGATTTAAACTTACTTTTAGTTCCCCTAATCTAAACCAAATATTTTTAGCCTTGGATTTACACTGTAACACTAGATAACAGTACGTTTGACTTTTGGTCCTTTGGGTTCGATAATCTTTAAAACTACATGATAAGACTGTGCACTTGCAGTCCAGATTATTTAGACTACCATATCCATCGATCAAGTTTTTGGCGCCGTTGCCGGGGACCAATTTAGTCAATATCATAATTCTGATGTTACACCGTATAGACTAAGGCAACATTTTTCCTTTCCTTAAACGATTGCATGCCAAATACTCGTTTACAAGGAGGGGAATTAATACAACGAATCAACGAAATCGAACGTTTTATTAACATAAGACGTCGAATCCTCGATCTTCCTGAAGTAGCTCAAATTCTAATTCCCATTCTTGAAGAACCAACTCTGAAACTAGACATGGCTGAACTAGGTAATCGACCTCTTAAGGAGTACGCTGCTCCTTCTCGAGCTGAACCGTACTCGAGTATTTCTCCTTCTGCCATCGAGACGAATAAATTCGAGCTTAAACCTTCATTATTGTAAGCCGTGCAACAAAATCAATTCTCTGGAGGCCCTACGGAAGATCCAAATCTCCATTTATCCGTGTTCGTACAATATGCCGACACAGTAAAAGCTAATGGTGTTAATCCCGAAGCAATTTGATTACGTCTTTTTCCCTTTTCTTTAAGAGATAGAGCTAGAGCGTGGCTCCAATCCTTAACTTCAAACTCCATAACTACATGGGACGAATTGAAGAAATTCTTCTTAGCAAGATATTTTCCACCTAGCAAAATTGCAATGTTGAGAGGCCAAATCAACAGATTTACTCAAAAAGATGACGAATCACTTTTCAAAGCTTGGGAGAGATACAAGGACATGTTGAGACTTTGCCCACATCATGGACTTAAACCATGGCTAATCATCCACACCTTCTATGATGGTCTACTATATAACACTAAACTATCTATAGACGCTGCCGCTGGTGGTGCACTAATGGATAAATCCTATAATGAAGCTTATCAACTAATTGAAAACATGGCGCAAAACCATTATCAATGGGGAGGAGAATGAGCCTCCACACGAGGATTGCACGAAGTCAGTGGCATACACCACGTCAATTCTAAAGTTGACTCCCTGACTCAAAAGATTGAGAGTTTAGCAGTAACCCCTGCAGCCACCGTGGCTGCCGTAGCTCGAAACTGTGACTTATGTGGAATACCT